GCTCCCTAAACGCAGGGATGACCCTGAGGTCTTCTTTGCCCTGTCCCTCTGACGCTCTTCCCACACCAAACATAATTCCTTGCACAGGGTGTACACTGTATTTTTCATTTAAGTATTTATTGGACACCGACAGGCACTGTATCAGGCTCTGGAGATTCGGTCTTGAGTGTTTGCTGAACTGACTTGCAGATAAAAGGAAACCATGGACATGCAAAGCCATTATCCAGATGGACCATGGGGATGTTTTCTTTTGCGCTTTGGTGGCCATTTTTAATTAAACCTGTCTAGGCACTAAGTGATGGAAGCCAAAGTGACAGAAGGCTCACTGCCTCCAAGAAGTTCCTGAGCAAGCCCGGCCTGAGGAAGGAAGGGGGGCATGCTGTGTATGAACGGTGCCCAGCTGGAAAGGTGCAGGCTTTTCGGTCCACCTCTCTAAGCTTTCCCCAGCATCCTGCGACAGATCTCCCTTCTCCTGTACCAGATCTCAGTGAGCATTCTTCGCTCTATCTGAATGACTGAAGGGGCATGTCAGGAACTCCTTTTTGAGGTGAAGAGCAGTTTTCCAGAATCTAGAACAATGGACCTAAAATTAAATGGGCCTGGGTGATTTAATGTTAAAGAGGCCCAGAACGTCCATAGGAGCGACACTAATTGCTTGCTATTTTAATAAATTGGTATTGGTTCTAATGAGTTGGTTTATTTTAAAAAAGTAGAGCGCACATGGAGAGCACAGGATCAGTTTGGGCTGGTGGAGATGGTCACTTGGGGTTGGGGAGGAGGAAGAACATTTTAACCTGAGAGCAGCATTGTCTTGTGGTTTAGCAGATGATGTCTCTGCATTTTACAAATTGTGGAGTCATCCAGGGGCCTCGTTTCCAGCATTTCCTCTCCTCATATTTATGAGACTGACAGGTTTATTCTGCCACAAGTTCAGAGAACTATAGGTCACAGTGCAGATTTTTCTGCAAAGAGCTTGCTGTACAGAATTGGGTCCCCTCAAAAGCGCAAGCAACTTTTTCATTGATGACATTAGGAATTTTAGGCAACTAAGAAAGAAGCTTTAGGGATCCCTTCGACCTTGGTTAAAGGCAAATAAATAAAAACACCATGAGGTAAAGACTGCTTAGGTGATAATGTCTGCTCATGAGCAAGGAAATCAGAATTCTGGTGACAAAAGTTGGTGTTTGACCAAAGTGGTGTTTCAGGCTCTGCCTCTGGGCAAGGGTCATTATGTTAGGATCCATAATTGCTAATAAAGTAGGTCCGAGGAACCTCAGAAATAGTAAGTGATATTTTGTGCATATAGGTATTTTTCCAGAGTATGGGTTCACGGCCTTCATGATTCTCAAAGGATCCATGAATTAAAACAACATGAAGGGGTGCCTGGGCGGCTCAGTGGGTTAAAGCCTCTGCCTTTGGCTCAGGTCATGATCTCAGGGTCCTGGGTTTGAGTCCCGCATCGGGCTCTCTGCTCAGCAAGGAGCCTGCTTCCCTTCCCCTCTCTCTCTGCCTGCCTCTTTGCCTACTTGTGATCTCTCTCTGTCAAATAAATAAATAAAATCTTTTAAAAAAATTTTAAAAACAACAACATGAAGAACTGTTTTGGTTTTCTTCCATTTTTCCATTCTTCCTTCCTTCCTTCTTCTTTCTTTCTCCCCTCCCTCCATTTTTTTTTTCTTTTTTGTCTACATTTTCTTCAGGAGGACTGAGGACCTTAAACATTCTCAGTAAGACAAGTGGTTGGTCCTTAGCTAGTTGAGTACCTACTATAGGATAAAGGACTTGCTCAGTGTGAATTCTGCACACAACACGGAGGGTTTTAAGTCTTATGTTAACAAATGATTATTCCTCTTACAATCATTGAAACAAGGATGAGCAATGATAATCTTAACTCCCATTTAATCTTGGTTTGTTCTTGATGCACCATACCTGTCTCCTATGTCCCTGTTTCCTTGTATTGTCACCACTGTAAAGTGTTTTCAAAATAAAGTGGTGGGTGGGAAACCAATATGAAATAATTTTAAGTTGCATTCAAACCCTACTACACCTGCACAGTGAAATCACTTTTTCTTTGCAACTCATGAAGCTGGCATTCTTTCCTGCATCATTTTATTTTTTCAATCTCATAACCTACCTTTGCCGTCGAGCCCCCACAATGCACTGGACTCTGTGTTAGGAATAGAAAAAGAGGATGACAAGGCTCCTGCTCTTAAATACATCCCATATGTTAAAGAAACAGATTCTGCTGTTGAGTACTCTCAGGTTGAAAGAAAAGTGAGAGGATTTTTCCAAAGAACATGTACAAATGGCCCATAAGCACAGAAAAAGATGCTCATTGTCCTCAGCCATCGAGGAAATGTAAATCAAAAGCACGATGAAATACCACTTCACACTCATGAGATTAAGTATAATAAAAAAGCCAGGAACAGCCATCATCAAGGATGTGGAGGAAGTGGAACCCTCATACATTGCTGGTGGGAATGTAAAATGGTGCAGTCATTTTGGAAAAGTCTGGCAGTTCCTTAAAGAGTTCAACATGGTTACCATATGACTCAGTAATCTCTTTCCTAGATATATAGCCAAGTGAACCGAAAGCAGATTCACGAGAGACTTTGCCATGGTTGCTCACAGCGTCATTACTCAGAAGAGCCAAGAAGCAGAAACAACACAAATGTTCATCATCTGTGAATGGATAAACAAAATGGGGGTATAACCACACCAAAACAAGATGTTAATAAAGAAAAAGCTGGAGGTGGCAGGGGTGGAGAGGTATGTGAGAACTCTCTGTACTCTCCATTCAGTTTTCCTGTAAACCTAAAATTGTTCAAAAAAGAATCCATTTTAATGTGTGGTACAGCCATGCAATGGAATATCATTGAGCCATAAAAATGAATGAAATTCAAATGCATGCTACATGGATGAACTCTGAAAACATGTAAGCTGGAAGAAGCCAAACACGGAAGGCCACACACTGTATGTTTCCACGTTTATAGGATGTCCAGAATGGGCAGGTCCACAGAGACAGAGTAGGTTAGTTGTTGCCATGGGCCATGGGGAAGGGAGAGTGGAGGGGCGCAATGGGCAGGGGCTTCTTTTGGGGGATGATAAAAATGTTCTTAGATAGTGCTGATGTTTGCATCACCTTTTGAATATTCTACAAACCAGTAAATTGTATGCTTTAAAATGGTGAATTTTATGGTATATGAATTGTATCTCAATTTTAAAAAGAACCACTTGGGGCGCCTGGGTGGCTCAGTGGGTTAAAGCCTCTGCCTTTGGCTCAGGTCATGATCCCAGGGTCCTGGGATGGAGCCCCGCATCGGGCTCTCTGCTCAGCGGGGAGCCTGCTTCCCTTCCTCTCTCTCTCTGCCTGCCTCTCTGCCTACTTGTGATCTCTGTCTGTCAAATAAATAAATAAAATCTTTAAAAATAAAAAATAAAATAAAACAAAATAAAATAAAAAAGAACCACTGGGCTGGAGGAGGGAGGGAGGTAGTTCTCCTTCTGGGTACACAAGGTAATAGTTCATTTGTTGGCTCTAATCTCATGACATTCTTTAACTCATTGTCTCTGTCTTAAGTATTGAAGGTAGCCAACATCCTCTTTACAATAACCATCTTTCTCTTTTATATGCTGTCTTCCCCACTATGTATCATTCCCTTTCTTTTCCATATTATCTCAAAGCAAAGGACTGTTAACAAACTCATCATGACTACCATTTATCAGGTGCCTAGGAAAGAGGGGATTTCCTTTTCACAAAGTTTAAATTTTACCCTGAAACAAGACAACATGGTCTTTGGTTGACCAAAAGCAAGATGAAGAATAATTCATTAAGATATGCTGTGCAAATCAATTATTCAGGAGAACAAAAGCAGACAGAGATGGAAGAGGACATAGGACCAAGCCTTGGCTCCACTGAAAAAAGCTTGCACAGGGGCGCCTGGGTGGCTCAGTGGGTTAAGCCGCTGCCTTCGGCTCAGGTCATGATCTCGGAGTCCTGGGATCAAGCCCCACATCGGGCTCTCTGCTCTCTAGGGGAGCCTGCTTCCTCCTCTCTCTCTGCCTGCCTCTCTTCCTGCTTGTGATCTCTCTGTCAAATAAATAAGTAAAATCTTAAAAAAAAAAAAACAAAACAAAAAGATCGCACAATAATGCCATCACCAAAAAAAAAACTGAGAAGACAAACATAACAAATGAGAACTCATGCAAGTCACTTATCTGTCTTTACAGGCTCATAAATACATATAGCATTAACTTGGATTTTCAAGAAAATAATGCAATATATAAGCTGTCTTTCAATGCCAATGCTCACGGCCTCTAAAGTTATAACTTTAGGTTTATTAAAACTATACTTGTTCATATATTGCACATATTTCTGCAATATAAAAACAATTTATTTATTTATATATTGCAAATTCTGAGAATCGACCTTTTCTGGCATTCATGGTATCTTATCCACTGCAATAAAAATCTCCATCTCCCTTATTCATTGCAATAAAAATCTCCATTTCACCTCATATTTTGTACTGTGGAACATCTATATTATATATATAACATCGGACTCACATTTAATTCTTTAAAAGCAAATAAAACAACTAGGTTAGTCTGCCCAGCCCTATAGCTTTCCATCAAGATAACCTGTTCTTCTCATAATCTGTGGGCACTTTAGACAGTATCAAGTAATTTCTTACTAAAATTTATGTTAGAATTTGATAGTTTAAATGTCTGTTAGACCATCCAGTTTACATGTCTCCAACTTTGCTCCTTTTTCCCATGCCTCTGTAATGCACACATGCCCCTATACTTACTCAATTATTAACAATCAGTACAGAAAATATTCCACTTTTTGCCCTACCTCCCTAAAAAAGGGAGATGTTTTTGGGTACTGGTACAGCAACAATATGATATTCCCTGTCCTGGTGTACAGGTGTTTCATTTCAAATGTGAAATCACTCCAGTCATACTGTTCTGAGAAAAACATGAAAAGTAAGTGCATTTACCTGGCTTTACAAGGCCTGACTTTGGTTCCTTTTTATATCGAGATGACTGGATGCTTCCTTCACCAACCATTCCAACTGTGCATTTCTTTCTGGAAAAGTCTTCATCACTTCCAGGGCAAAAACCAATAGGGCTATTTCCAGTATCTGAAGGCGTCTTCACGGGAGACACGGACTGGCTGCTAGGACAGCCTGTGTCATCTGGAAGACAGGAATCAGTAAGTGATTAATGAGGAGGAGGAAATCAACAAGGGCAGAGAGAAGTCATGCACACACGCACTCACACACATGTACTCTGCTTATGAGGACCTGGACTGATGCCTGCAGATGCCCTTCCTTTTATTTTCCATATGTTGGTCAATTTTGTTTACAAAGAAAATAGCAGCTATCATGAAACATATGTTAAGGCAAAACCTTCTGAAGTTTTTGGACCACAAATACTTCTGTAACTTTCATGTTGTCAACACTTAAAGGTTTGTCCATTTCAACACTTCAGGTAGTATACTTTTGGGTCAAAACTGTCCATATATTATTTGATGCAGTTAAGTAACAAAAAGTTCACCAGACAATTCAGGGGTATTACTGGGAACCCTTCAGAGTTGTTTGTGTTAGGGGAAAAAAAGTTACTTGAATATTATTGACCTCACCCAGTTTTCGACAGTTGGCCTATCAACCAGTTAAGAGAGTTTAATAGGTATGAAATCTGGCTTTTGGAGTTCAAAGGAGCAGACAAAAAGGTTTTTTTTATTATGTATCCTGTTTTATTAGCATACACACCCTCTCCACAATATATCAATCCAGTATCTTGCTGTCTGGGATAAATGGTAAAATGAAAATGATATTCAAATTACAAATATCCCCTTAACTTTCAAGTTACAGATTATTACTATGATCATTATTATAAGCTAATATGCATGATACGAAGTGACCTGAGTAGGTGCTTATGAGGCAAACAGGAAAGTCATACTGCTGACTTCTATAAATGCTTTCATAGTTATTAAATATTCATGATGCTTGGTTAATTCATGTATACTTTGATGAAGAGAATTGTATGGGAATTTAAGGTAAATCAATATTACCTAAAAGTATGTCTCCTCCAAAGAGTCAATTAGTGGCAAACACTCATTACTAAATAATTCTTTTTTATACAGAAATATTTTGATGGCAGAGCTACTTTAGTAACTCATTAGACAAAAAAAAAAAAAGAATAGAGACTATTAGTACTAATAATTTTTAAGACTATCACACTTTTATGTGTAATAAAGGAACAAAAATAATTTGCATCTGTGAAAGGCTCTCTCAAACTCCACACCTTTAATAAAGACAGAAACAGAACTAGGCATGAATAAAATATACTGGTTGCCTGAATAAAGATGACTAGAATCCATCTAAAAAAATCATGGCCTTTGCTTCATTTTTGGCTTCCATTTCAGATTTTATTATGAAATAGCCCCAGTTTCTGGAACAAAGTGAACTTGGCACTGGTAAGATGATTCATTTCTCTGAATATTCTTTTTTTTTTTTTTTGGACTATTGGCCTTATTAGTATACACAGGACCTCAATGGTGCATTTCTGGAAGGGAGTAGTTTTTAGTGTACTGCTCATGCCTTCTGCCTTTGCTATTCTCTTTCAAGTTCCCTGTTATTACCAAACTCTGGAAGAAACTTTGGCCATGAAGGAGAGTGCTGAGAGCCTCTCCTGACTGCTATGGGTCAGCTCTTTCATCACTTATTGTCCCTGCTTTTCTGTGACATTTGCATGTCCCATGCTGCAACCCAAAAAAAGCCTAGCTCCCCTCAAAAGGTGCAAAGCTGCTAATTACTCAGATTCCAGCACTCTTACAAGGTCTTACAAGGCTCAACAGGCCTGCACATTGCCTCAGGAGGTCCTCCTTCTTGATTCTGATCCCAAAGCAGATAAACCCAAGCAAATGAGGTCTAATCATTCGAAATTACCCATTGCCTTCAAAATTATTTCCTTATGAGTCACTTCCATAAATTACTTCTTTTGAAAGAGAGATGGCCCAAATAAATAAAAGTCCATGCTTCGGAGTCTCTAACCTGAAAAGCAATTTTTCTTGAAAACACTCAGACTCAACAGGACAAAATCAAATGATTTCCAGTATTGAGAAACACTGTCAAAATTATAATTTAAGTCAATAGAAAGCAAATGTGTTTTGTTGGTTCTATTATCATTTAGCCAGAGTTAAATGAGAAAGAATATGTATAAGCCATGCTTTTAATAATGTCAAGAATTAAGTGCTAGGGTCTGGTTAGAAATTGGGACCTGAAATTACTTAGAAGAGTGGCACTTTAGGGAAGGAAGCAGCAACTTTTTTTTTTTTTTAACCTGGAATGTGTGCTTTACAAATCATCAATATTTACGGCTAGTATCTCCAGGGGAAGGGTTTGAGAAGGTGAGGACCTAAATAAACCTTTAACTTGTGGCACCTTGTACAGCATCTAAATAATGACATAAACTGGTGTTCCCCCAACATCTCTTAACTGTCTAGTATTGTGCTTTATATTGAGAGAGAAACAATGGGAATAAGACATGATCTTTCATTGGTTAAACTACATCTTGGCACTGAACCAGCCCACAGACATTATGCTCAGCGCCCATGCTAATGGAGCTTATAAATAAGCAAATGGAGCTGGGTAAGTATCACTTACAATGCACAACTCCTATAGGCTGGCAAGCCTGTCAAAGCAAATCCATACTCAAGAAAATCAGTGTGTTACCAGAGAAATTTGGGGTATTCAGCAGTTTCATCCCATGAGATCAACACTAACCAGGTATCTAGTTTGGAAAGGGCAGGGTCATTGATTTTCCTACTAGAGAGAACAAACTCTAAGTTATGCAAAGTAAGCCTCAGAGCAAAGGCAACAAAGGTACATGGACCAGGGAGTCATCTGGTAACCTGAGACACCTGCAATATTTTCCTCTGTGTGACACTGAAAAAGTGGTCATTTTTTCAACGAGACTTGTTTAAGGCTCCTTTACCCTTTCCCTCCCCCTTCCCTTCTCTTCTCCTCCTCCCTTTTAACTTCATGGTCACAGCTGGAAGCAGACTCCTAGTCCAGATGAAAGTAATACTCCTTCCCGAAATTCTATATAAAATACTTTTCCTTCACATTTGCTCCAAGACTCCAAGAAGACTAAAGCCAAGCAGATGCCCCTTGGTTATTCATGTCTAATGTTACCATGTGCCAAACTACATGTGGACCAAGCACGTATTAAACAGATTTATTTATAAAGCCCACTTTGGTTAAACCCTTTGAGTATGCCTCCTGTTTCCTGCTGCTACTAGCTCAATTTGTCCTATGGAATCCATGGATTTATAATTACAATATGTATAATTATGGTTTTTATTATGTTAGTATAAAGAAATTATCAATGACAAAAAAATTTTAATAGGACACCATGAGGAAACTATTTCAGAGAGGAAATGACAGAAATCCTGAATGACCTACCCAAAACAGTGTAGAATGTTTTAAATTTCCAGAAAAATGCCTGAGAAAAATAAGAACATTTTGGCCTGGTTTTGGCAGAGGGAAGCTTTGCAGCAAGGCTTTAGGTAGAGCATGTGGAAGACTTTCAGTCTCTGGAGAGAGAGGAGTTTTTCTTTTAAAACACACACACACACACACACACACACGCGCGCGCGCGCGCACGCGTGCACACACACACACCCACTACTTTGGTGCTTACATTATTGAGCTTTTACACTTCTTCATTGTTCATGGTAAGTATAACTTCATTAAAAAAAGGAAAACATAAAACAGGGATGGCTGTGTGGGTCAGCCGGCTAAGCGCCTGCCTTCAGCTCAGGTCAGGATCTCAGGGGTCCTGGGACACAGGTCTGCATTGGGCTCCTGCTCAGCGGGGAGTCTGCTTCTCCTTCTCCCTCTGCCCCTCCCCCGATCCTGCTCGAGCGCGTGCTCTCTCTCTCTCTCCAATAAATAAATAAAATAAAATCTTAAAAAAACCCAATAACCCTATAACAGGATCATGTTTCATGTTTTACACACTGTGATCCATCTGAAAATATAGGATAACTTCCTTTTGGGGTCAATAATTTTAAATCCCACTTCAATGGGCCCAGGACGGTCCCTCGTGGGACACGGGTAAAACTGGCCCTTACTAAGTCTACTTTTGATCATCATCTATCGTGAAGGAGACTAAGTTACATTTCGTCCTTGATATGTACTAAGGAATAGGCCATTTTTGTTCTTGTTGTTCATTTGCTTTGAATCTGTCAACATACAAGTTTAAGGACACACAAAGAATACTCATAGACCCAGGAAGTCCCAGAAGTTGCAGCCCTTCTCAAGCGCTATAAGAAATGTACCTACTAAATAGTTTCCAAATTGTTGTTAAGGAAAAAAAAAAGTTAAGATCTGTAAGGAGAGATGAGAGAAACAGGCATCTGTTGTAGCCTGTAGGTTGTTAAAAAAATGTTTTTAAATCTATTTCTCCTCTCTCTTTACATGACAAGCTCTTTGAGAACATGCCATATAGCTAATAACTGTACAATTACTCTACTGACAATTCTGAAAAAACGTGTAAGTATCTTTTAAAATAATTTGTATCTTATTTTAAATGCACTAAAGGAACTTGCTAAATTAAAAGAAATCTGTTGGGGTTGTTAACATGTTCATTTAATCTTTGATATTGTCAAAGTAATAATTAACGCAAAGGGTCTAGCTTGAGTGCAGAAGAGTATAAAGAAGGAAAGAGAACATAAATGGATAACGGTTTCCTGAAACTGCAGTACCCAGAAAAAATATTATTGATCTTTTAATTATGTGTATAATTTCCTTGCTCACTTGCTTTGTGCTGTTTCCACATGTAGTATATTCAGTTTCGTTACCCTGCTACCGAGCACTTTCCCCTGGAACTTGTTAGGCTATAAAGAAAGAAGCTATTGAAGACTGACAGGAGCCAATGCAAAAGGGCTCATACTGGCCACAGACAATAATTCGAGCATCAGAAAGAACAAATAATTAATGCAACTGACTTAACCACTGGATATTAAAAAAAAAAATCTGTGAGCTCATGGTTATAGAAAAAAAAACAAAAAAACAAAAAAAACTAAAGACAAAAAAGAAAGACCCTTTCCACCTTAAAGAATCCCAATGCACTGGCAATCGTTGGCAGCGACCCAGGGACCCATTCTTTGTGTTGAAATTCGGCAATT